TGTGCGTTGTCGTGAGGGCAACCAATTAAACAGTCTAAAAGCATGCGCTTGAAATCACAGCAAAACAATAAAACTCACAACAGCAATTGAAAACCATAGCAGTAAAAACACTCAGCATGCATAAATAAAACAAAACGCACTTGTGTCCCATCACAAAAGCTAAACTTAAATGTAGGAAACTTGCTCTCCAGGTGCTTTTAGAAATAATAATTTTCAGACAAAAATATGAATGTTCAAACTGCAATAAAAGGAATAAAATGTCGGCAAAAGCGGCTGGTTGGCAATTTCTGCACCGGGCGAGTGACAGACAATCAGCAATTATTTAATAGAAAATTCATCACAGCGCGAGTGGTTGTTGAAAATGTCTTAAAGAATGACTCCGACACTGAACTTCTGAAGTCAATGGTGCTGACTTGCTGTGCTCTGCACAATCTGTGCGAAAACCATGGAGAGACCATGTAACACCTGTAGCAGCGGCAGCCTGTGTAGCAGTGGTGCAGAACTTTTGTATTTACCAAATTTCTCCATCCTTGTTCATAAATTTTCCAAGGTAATATGGATTTACTGACAAATATTATGAATGTAATGTAAATACTAGTAAAAGTATATGGTAGGAAATCATAACTTGTGCTTTTGAACCACTTTTCTGCATGTGTACAGACAAATGAATGAAACAAAGTCTTGATGCGATCACAGATTTATTAAAAACAAAAGTAAAGTGCAAAACCAACTATTTAGAAAGTCCAAAGTATGTTTGTCTCTTGAGACCAGATCCAGGTGAGGGGAAAGTTAAGTACTCCAATCACTTTTTGCTCTTTGGTAATTTCCTCACTTATGGGAAGGGATTCTCAAACAAATAAATATGACAACATAATTACAAGCACAAAACAGAAGGGCAACACGTGAAAGAGCAAAATACAGCACACTAGCGCAGGAACGTTTTAGCTTTAGCTTGCTATCAATTGCTACTGGGGCAAAACCAGTGGGGGCGGGTCCCAGCTCAAAAGTGGCCAAAATGACGTGCGCTGACGTGCTTGCAATACCACCCCGGGCCGATGGGTTTGGACCCAGAAGAAGAATTAGCCAATGCTAACATATAGCATTGGCAGACCTCTCGAAAACGTCTTTACAGGATGGACCAAAAGTTGGCTCTTGGCCCAAAGCTCCGTTCCACATGTGTGTCAACCAATTTTTTTGGTCCACTCTTGTTTACTTGCTGTGAATTTTTGAAGTCTCTCGTTCAAATGAATGGAACAACGCATAGCTGACGCATGCGCAGATGCGTTTTTTCGCAATTTTCTTGTGGGCGGGACCACTCGCGGCCATTTTGGATTGCTCCAGTAGAGCCAAGCCCCGGTGATCCAAGATGGCGCCGAATTTAAATTAATGGTTTGTGCTCAGTGGCGCATTGTGCCGGCATGGGCGCCAAAAAATTAGCGGAACTTGCCTGGAACTCGCAAAGATCCATGGGAAACTCGCCTATATTTGGGCATTGTCTGGTCCTCCCGGTTCTGCGCAGTGGATGATCTCCCATGATGCGTTGCGCCAAATACACGTGTGGCTCTCATGCACGTGCACAGAGGGGCTCGGCCGCGCTCTGACCAATCAGAACTGCTCATCAGAGAGGGAGTTAGAGCAGGAGCCAGACGGACAGAGTTTATGGCACTTATGTGTGGATTTAAAGAAAACCGAAGGATTTAAGAAGAAAAAAGTTCAGAAATCCCCACAAAATCCGACCTTTATGAAAGCTGTGGGTTCTCTGTCAGCTGAGGTCGAGCTGGTTTAGTTTACATTGATTAACCCATTAGGCATGAGCCCAAGGGTGGGGTCCAGACAGAGGTACAAAATAAATAAATGAAATGTATACATATATATATATACACACATATATATATATACACACACACAATATATATATATTATTTATTTTGTACCTCTGTCTGGGCCCCCACCCTGCCAATTGGGCTCTTGCCTAATGGGTTAATCCGGGCCTGTGGATGTGAGCATGCAATGTAATCCTGAGGCACAGGTGTGGAGGAGGCGGTTGCGACTGTAAAGGCTGTTTGATGATCAATGTCCTGCTTCTAAACGCTGGCTTGATTTAGCACGGCTGGCAGGGGAGTTGATGAAGCCGATGTGATAGGCTGAGGAAGAAATAGGCAAACCTGGTGCGATGACATGTGTGGGTAGTCTACCAGCCTGAACTTCTGCTTAAGCTGCATATCTTCATTGATTCTAAGACTTATTAGGTTGGTGATTAAATTAGATTGTTATTTACATTTACATTCCAACAGTGTTTTTTATCAGTATCAAAACTACTTATTCCGAGGTAAAGTAACGTGTTTACTATCGTCAATTTAGTAAAGTATAGCCGTTTCTTTCTTGATCCCCTGCAACATTACTTTTTATTTATCATGGGCATATTTATTTACGCATCTGCAGAAAAAAAAATTCAGCCTCACTGTGAGTGCCAACTTCTTTGTTTTTTCTCAGCTGCTCTTCATCAAGGGGTTAGATGTCCTAAAATGATTCCCCCGAGTGAGAGCTGTGTTCATGAAGTACAACAACCTCATGTGTACATGCTCTGTGGCATTTTGATCAAAAACAGCATGAACTAAATAGAATAGAACTACTACCACAAATTTAAGAACAGTTCTGCTCAAAGTTGAGCATAATAACCGTAACGTAAAAGTAACGAGTAAAGTAACTTAGTCACTCAGTAAATAAAGTAACTTAGTAAAGTAACAGGTTACTTTTTAAAAGTAACAAGTAACGAAAACATTACTTTTTAAAAGTAACTTCTCCAACACTGCATCCTATATACATGCATTATGTGCAATGTGATTGAACATAACAGGGGTATAACACAACTTTTGGTGAGTTAGTGTTTTGCCTTTACTTTCCATCATAGTGGTCACTAGGATGATCCTATGATCAATTGTTTGGAAGATTCTCTTGGTTGAGGGATCCACTCACCAGAATATCCAAAGGACAATTGATAAGATAAGATAAACCTTTATTAGTCTCACAGTGGAGGAATTTCAGGCTGAGTTTACACGGAGACAATGTGGCAGTAAAACGGTATAGTTGGATGTCGGTTGCTACCAAGCGTTCATACGAAGACTGTGTTCCAGGGGGGTGAAAACGTAAGTGTTCAGATCCAGCCTGCAGAGTGGGACAACTCAGAAACGCTGCACAGCGGGGGCTCTCTTTCACACCCGCGAGAGGGAAAAAGGTGTGAAATCCCCCTCTGCTCTGACCCCCACCTCCGCGCTGCTCCCCGGACGTAAATTTGGACATGCGCAGTAGCGGAGAACAAACATCAACAAAAATGGCGCCGCGCGCACTAACTAGCTTCGTGGGCTTCGAGCACAGCACAGAGGATAATTCTACTCCTTCGTTCTTCCAAACGAGACCACGCGAAGCTCTAGGTTCAGTTCCCATTTTCACAGCTGCTGTTAAAAGGCAGAATGATGTTGGTGCGTTCTGAGGGTCTGGCACAGGAAGTGAGTACACTGCCGAGAGGGGGGCTGGGCACGGGGCTGGGGGTCGTGTGAGTGTTGTAAAGTTTCTCTGCCCACTACTGGCCGGGCGCTAGAACTACATCGTTTTTCAACCTCATGTGAACGCTGAGAAATTTGCATTAGGAGCCAGGTCGTTTCTGTTAATAGCTTGGAAACGTCTGCGCAGCGTCTCTGTATAAACAGGGCCTCAGTGTCATCGTTGCGCACATTACAGCAGAGAGAGGAAATAAGAGCACTCAGATTGCACACATCAAATAAGTCTATTATTTAAGATAATAGACTATAGAATTAAGATAAAAATAAAATGAGATAAACTCGTGTCTATAATTGCACTTGGTTCGGAAGTATTTACAGATGTCTATATTATACATTAGCAGCGGAGAATATGAGCAGAATGAACATCAGAAATAATATCAACAGGTAAAGTGACTTGAATGGGAGAATTATCAGATGGATATGTAATAATACTGTAAAAATCAACAGGTAAAGTGACGGTGAAAGGCAGAAATATCAGATATGTAATAATGCAGTAGTACTGACAACAGGTAAAGTGACTAGTGACAAAGTTACTAGTGAATTATCAGTGACACTTGTACAGACTCAGCAGTTCCTGTTCTCGTTGTACAGTCTGACAGCAGCAGGAAGGAAAGACCTACGGAACCTCTCCTTCACACAGCGAGGGTGAATTAGTCTGTCACTGAAACTGCTCTCCAGAGCAAAGAGAGTGTCCTGCAGGGGGTAACAGTCATGGTCCAGCATAGATGTTAGTTTGTCCAGGACCCTCCTGATTCTGGAAACCTGTAGAGTCTACTGCAATCAAAAGTAAATGCTTCGAATAAGAATTTTATTTATCACATAAAAGTTTCATAAAGCCCTTTTTAAGATAATGGATTAGACAAGTACCAGAAAGTCTTCTTTGAGTTTATGACATGAACATGAAACCAACAGAAGTAACAAACAATCCCTTAAATCTTCTTAAATAACACAGTTAAATATAGTAACATACTTTTTCCCTCCATCTTTTTTTGTTTGTTGCCGATACAGTCAATAGAATGAATGCTTATATTGAGTAGAATTTATTATTTTCCACACATTCACAGCATTATTGCACAAAAGATGCATGGGCATTAGACTTGCAGGTCCTTCTAAAGAGAAAAACTGTTGCAGTCAGTTCTTGGTACAAGTGGCAAAACTGAAATGTGACAAGTGTGGTTCTACAATAAAGTCATGTCAAAAATATATTATAAATTACTTATCTCTTTGCACTACTGCAAGTGGATCATTTAGTGAAATCATAACTGTGTTAAAGACTCTGGCCTGATTCACCTTATTCAGACAGATGGTGCTGTGGACAGACGACGACTTGTGTCTAATACTACTATAACAGCAACATGAAGTGGAAACATGCGGATCATCTAGTTCACTTTTTAAGTCTAGTTTCTGAAGAAAGAACAGATATTTCTGAGTTCATCCCAGTTAAGGCTTCACGTTTGGCTGCTCAGTTTCGGCAGGTAACCAGCTGAAACGGTACGGCTCTCGTGGCACTAGCAGGTCAATATCCAGTTTCCTCTGCTCCTTGTCGTTGTTGACCGGCCGGTATCCCAGCATGGACATGGCGCTGCGGCACAGATCCTGCACACGTCGCACTTTAGCATGTGGTAGCTTGGTGCGCCAGGCCTGCGACACATCCACGGCGTTTCGAGAGGTGACTTCAAAGGCCTCTTTCCTGGTGCCCTTTCCTTTGCCGTGTGTGACTTTATAGATCCACTCCTCCAAAGCCCCAGACATTTCCAGGCCCACAAAGTCATAAATGGAGGTGATTTCCTCCAGCGGGGCTCGGGCTAGGTCCTCATAGCGCACCAGCTTGTAGCGACCCTGTAAAAAGGGCGGGGGCTTCTGCAGCGCTGTCTCCCGGATACGAATGTGACTGCGGCAGATCTCCTGCATGACGTGGTACTGAATGTCAGCCGCAGACACGTTCTTCTGCTCTAGGACCATGGAGTTGTCTCTGGTGAAGGACTTCGACGACTCTTCTCGGGAACGCATGACGGCGCGTGGGTCTCGCACCAGGTGCACAATACGCAGGTCTAGCTCAGGGTCCTGCAGCAGAGGGTAAAGGGACTGCAGCTCAAAGAAGCGCACCTCCTTCAGGACTACATGGCTGTATGTGCTGCAGGCGCGCTGGGCCCCACTCATGCCCCGTGTGGAGCAGTGCAGGGAGCAGGCGGTCTGATTACTGAAGCTGAATGGGATGCGGGGGGTGAGGGGGCAGGCTGGAGGCGAGCAAAGGGCCCGACTGTGGCTCCACATGAACAGGTTGGATATGTTGTGCTGTAGGGGTAGGTAGGCCTCCATGGTGGAGAAGTCACAAAGGAACGTGCTGCGGAGAAGGTCTCTGACTGCCATGCGAAGGGCTCTGGCTCCTGGCCGCTGCAGGGTGGTCCACACATGCCATCCTGGCTCCATCAGATAGAACACTGACGGGTGCTGACTGAACACCTGTCCCAAGAAGGATGAGCCTGATCGCCATGACGACAGCAACAGCACATGGATCTTTTCCTGAGACGGAGCAGAGCCACAGGGGCTGAGCTGGACATACCATCCACAGAAAAGCACCACTGCAGCCCCCTGGAGGAGGACCAGGAGGATCATAGTGCTCACAGTTAGTCTGCAGCGCGGCATGGTCCCAGCGGCTGGAACGACAAGGCACATGTCAGTGAGATCCAACCATTTGTATCACCCAACAACAAGGGCACCCCATGTCATATATTTGTGCCGCTTTTCCACAGTAACGGTACGGTACAGTGCGGCACGGCCGAGTTTGGGTGCTTTTCCATCAAAAATAGTACCTCCTAGTATCTCCTCAGCGTTGTCAGACCACATCATTTACGCGCGACGAGTAACTAGTAACATTGGTGCAGTTCATGCATTTATTATAATATCGGTGATACCGGCAAAACTGGCTCCTAAAAGCTTTTCAGGACACCGAGTGACAGTGTCTCCATCAATGTACTCTTGTTTACAAGAGTAACTAACAACAAGTATTTATTAGAAAATTAAATACTTGCTGCGAGTGGTTGTTGAAAATGCTTTCAGCAGTCTTAAAGGAATGACTCAGTCACTGAACATGTGAAGTCAATGGTGCTGAACTGCTCTGCATAATCTGCGAAACCCACGGAGAGACCTGTGACAGAATGGGACATACCTGTAGCAACAGCAGCCTGTGTAGCAGCGGTTGCAGAGGAGGAAGGCTATCCGATGCGTCGCTTGTCATATGCCTAAACATTTATTTTGACCAAAAATTAAACCTTTTTGTATTTACCAAATGTCTCCATCCTTTTTCATAAATTTACCAAGGTTATACGGATTTACTGACAAATATAATGTATGTAGTAAAAGTACATAAGTATATGGTAGGAAATCATAATTTTTGAACCCCTTTTCTGCACGTGTACAGACAAATGAATGAAAAAGTCTTGATACAATCACAGATTTATTAAAAACAAAAGTAAAGTGCAAAACCAACAATTTACAAGTCCAAAGTACGTTTGAGACCAGGTCCAGATGATAAGAATGTTAAAGTTATAGTCTGTAACTCTAAATGAATTACAAATTTTAGGAAATGTCTTAAATTGACCTCCTGTGTTAGGGATCTGGTTGTTCTGCTCCCCCTCCCTTTTTGTTTTCTCTGCAGGGTGTGTGTGACAGGGGGCGTGGCTGGTTCATCTTCCAGCAGGAGGCACACCTGCATCAACTCATCATCAGCAGTGTTCAAGAGCCTGGCTTCCACTCCACTTCGCTGCCAGATTATTCTATGTCTCATGTTCGCCTTTTTGACCTGCCAGCCTGCCTCCTGTCTTCACCGCCCAACCTTTTTTTTGTAAAATAAACTTTACTTTTTTCTGGAGCTACTCTCAGTGTCAGAGTCTGCTTTGGGGTCCAATATACAAACCCTAACAGAATAATCTGGCCAAATATGGACCCCGCAGATGCTGATCAATTGAAGAGGGCCGTGGCCTCACAAGGATCCAGATTGGGACAACACGAAAGAGCATTCAAAGAAGTTTTGGATTCACTTTCCAAATTGACAGCTGAAGTGAATCAGCTTGGTTCACGTGTGGAACAAATTGCTACCCACCTGTCTTCAACTACCCCGTCAGTGCCTCAGTGTTTCCCACAGGTTTGAAGGCAATGTGTGGTGGTCGTCGGCGGGGGGGGGGGGCTGGTCGGCCGGCAAAAATTAACAATGACATCGTTAATTGGTCAAATACAGCTTTATTGGACTGATCAAAATATCAAACATTATTCACACGCTGTATATTACACTATAAATACTGTTAACGCTGTATAAACCTACTCAGACCGATACCTCTAGTTCAGGCTGATCCTCATCCTCAACGCGTGTCTTTTTCAATCGCGGAAAATATTGTTCAATACTCATCTGGATTGAAGCAGCAAACATTCAGTGTAAGAGTAAAAAAATGACATAACGTTACTTATAACTTTATTTCTTGCTACAGCTGCTACATAGTGTTTTGACCCCGACAACCCAACTACATACCGCAAACTTGCGACTAATTAACTTTATAAAGAAAGCGTCATCGCTTGTTAAGGGAGTCGGGACGGAAATTCAACATTGACACTGAACATTCAGCACTTTTTAATGTGTGATTTACGAGATCACGGGATACCAACCTTTAGTGAACTTCACCAGCCGTCTTCTCTGCACCAAAAAGACACAGCTGCTTACAGCGATGATCGCTGATGGAGACGGAGACACGCGGTGTGCACGAAGGGGAGGGGCTGTGTGTGTGTAGGTCTCTGTATGTGGGAGAGACGCGTAGCTTGAGTGAGAGTTACGAAGGGCCGCCACATTTTAAACCCCCCTCCCCGCTGGCGGGTCAAATTGACTGCTGCGGCGGCACTAGACGATGCATGTTTTAAATAGCGTAACAAAAAAATATATATATATTAATACGTAATCAAAACGCATACTTTGTGGTGCATAGCGGGCGTGGGGATGGTCACTAATCTTGGCGATCCCGTGATCTCGAAAAATCACCCAATAAAAAGTGCTGAAAGATGTCAGTGTCAAAGTTGAACTTTCCGACCCGACTCCCTTAACCAAGCGATGACCGCATTACCTTAATAACAGTTCATTAGTCGCAAGATTGCGGTAAGTAGTATGGGTATGACGGGGTCAAAACACAATGTATCCGCATGTCGTGCCAGAAAATACAGATAATAAGTAACGATAATTGTCCATTTATATTACGCACAAACCCACGGACATGAATAAGCAGCTTCATCATTCTCAGTAAGAGACTAGTGAGACACACTATATTATCCTCGCGAGTGACAACAGCCACGCGAAAGACGGCTGAGGACTCATGCCCATGCACTAGAGGACGTCAGCGGGGACTTGAGTAGGTAAATAATACCGCGTTAAAAACAGTTATTTTATAGTGGAAATCTACAGCGCTGATCCGAAAGTAATGTATGATATTTTGAATCAGTCCAATAAAGCAGTAATTATGAACCCATGAACGAAAGATCCATATGTGATAAATATATTAGTCCGGCCGACCATCCCCCCCCCCCCGCCGTACCGACCACCACGACCTTGCCATCAAAGCCAGTGTGGAAACACAGATGGCACTGACGTGGGAAGTAAGACGACAGGTGGGAAGCAATTTGATTACCACACGGTGAGACCAAGCTGATTCACATCAGCTGACAAATTTGGACAAGTGAGAAACTCCAAAACAGATCATTGCAAAGCATCTTTCCGAGTGATGTCCCAGAACTGGATCCATTGTAGAGGCCACGGCCCTCCTTCAAATGAACAGCGCACAGCGGGGTCCCATAAATTGTGCGCAGAAAATTCTGTTAGTGGTATGTAAAATATGGACCTCCAAAGCATGACACTGACATCTGAGAGGTAGCTCCAGAAACAAGATCAAGATGTATATTATACCAAAAAACGGGTAGGCGGATGAAGACATGGAGGCAGGCAGGGCATGGTACCAAAAGGCGAACAATGAGACATATAATAATCCTGGCAGTCGAAGTGGGTATGGTGGAAGGCTTCCAGGCACTTGAACACTGCTGATTGGGATGAGTATGATGGCAGGTGAGCCTCCTTGCTAGGGTAGAGATGAACCAGCCACGCCCCCTGTCACCACACACCCTGCAGAGAAAACAAAGAAAAGGGAGGGGGAGTCAGAAACAACCAGATCCCAAACACGGGATGGGTCAATTTAAGACAATTATCCTACAAATATGGTAAAATCAGTAGTAGAGTTACAGACTAATCACGTTATAACATTCCTATCATCAGGACCTAGGTACTCACAAACGACTTATATATGACTATGTAACATGTTTGGTATATGGCCACTTATTTCTTAATGTTATATTAAATAAAATCAGATGATTGTATCAAGACTAATTGTAACATTTAGTCCTGTACCCGTGCAGAAAAGGGGTTCAAAAAATTATGATTTCCTACCATATTACTTATGTACTTTTACTACATACATTTATATTTGTCAGTAAATCCGTATAACCTTGGTAAATTTATGAAAAAGGATGGCCGACATTTGGTGTAAATACAAAAAGGTTTATTTATTTTTGGTCACAAATAAATGTTTAGGCATATGACATAGCGACGCATCGGAATGAGCCTTCCTCCTCTGCAACCGCTGCTACACAAGGCTGCTGTTGCTACAAGGTATGTACCCATTCTGTCACAGGTCTCTCCGTGGGTTTCGCAGATTATGCAGAGCAGTTCAGCACCATTGACTTCACATGTTCAGTGACTGAGTCAATTACCTTTAGACTGCTGAAAGCATTTTCAACAACCACTCGCAGCAAGTATTTAATTTTCTAATAAATACTTGTTGTTAGTTACTCTTGTAAACAAGAGTACATTGATGGAGACACTGGTCACTCGGTGTCCTGAAAAGCATTTAGTTAGGCCAGTTTTGCCGGTATCACCGATATTATAATAAATGCATGAACTGCACCAATGTTACTAGTTACTCGTCGCGCGTAAATGATGTGGTCTGACAACGCTGAGGAGATACTAGGAGGTACTATTTTTGATGGAAAAGCACCCAAACTCGGCCGTGCCGCACTGTACCGTACCGTTACTGTGGAAAAGCGGCACAAATAATATGACATGGGGTGCCCTAGTTGTTAGGGTGATACAAATTGGTTGGATCTCACTGACATGTGCCTTGTCGTTCCAGCCGCTGGGACCATGCCGCGCTGCAGACTAACTGTGAGCACTATGATCCTCCTGGTCCTCCTACCAGGGGGCTTGCAGTGGTGCGTTTTTCTGTGGATGGTATGTCCAGCTCAGCCCCTGTGGCTCTCTGCTCCGTCTCAGGAAAAGATCCATGTGCTGTTGCTGTCGTCATGGCGATCAGGCTCATCCTTCTTGGGACAGGTGTTCAGTCAGCACCCGTCAGTGTTCTATCTGATGGAGCCAGGATGGCATGTGTGGACCAACCCTGCAGCGGCCAGGAGCCAGAGCCCTTCGCATGGCAGTCAGAGACCCTTCTCCGCAGGCACGTTCCTTTGTGACTTCTTCTCCACCATGGAGGGGCCTACCTACCCCTACAGCACAACATATCCTGTTCATGTGGAGCCACAGTCGGGCCCTTGCTCGCCAGACCAGCCTGCACCCCCTCACACCCCGGATCCAATTCAGCGCTTTCAGTGAAGTCAGAGCGTCGTGCTCCCTGCACTGCTCCACACGGGGCATGAGTGGGGATCCCAGCGCGCCTGCAGCACATACAGCCATGCTAGTCCTGAGAGGAGGTGCCTCTTTGAGCTGCAGTCCCTTTACCCTCTGCTGCAGGACCCTGAGCTAGACCTGCGTATTGTGCACCTGGTGCGAGACCCACGCGCCGTCATGCGTTCCCGAGAAGAGTCGTCGAAGTCCTTCACCAGAGACAACTCCATGGTCCTAGAGCAGAAGAACGTGTCTGCGGCTGACATTCAGTACCACGTCATGCAGGAGATCTGCCGCAGTCACATTCGTATCCGGGAGACAGCGCTGCAGAAGCCCCCGCCCTTTTTACAGGGTCGCTACAAGCTGGTGCGCTATGAGGACCTAGCCCGAGCCCCGCTGGAGGAAATCACCTCCATTTATGACTTTGTGGGCCTGGAAATGTCTGGGGCTTTGGAGGAGTGGATCTATAAAGTCACACACGGCAAAGGAAAGGGCACCAGGAAAGAGGCCTTTGAAGTCACCTCTCGAAACGCCGTGGATGTGTCGCAGGCCTGGCGCACCAAGCTACCACATGCTAAAGTGCGACGTGTGCAGGATCTGTGCCGCAGCGCCATGTCCATGCTGGGATACCGGCCGGTCAACAACGACAAGGAGCAGAGGAAACTGGATATTGACCTGCTAGTGCCACGAGAGCCGTACCGTTTCAGCTGGTTACCTGCCGAAACTGAGCAGCCAAACGTGAAGCCTTAACTGGGATGAACTCAGAAATATCTGTTCTTTCTTCAGAAACTAGACTTAAAAAGTGAACTAGATGATCCGCATGTTTCCACTTCATGTTGCTGTTATAGTAGTATTAGACACAAGTCGTCGTCTGTCCACAGCACCATCTGTCTGAATAAGGTGAATCAGGCCAGAGTCTTTAACACAGTTATGATTTCACTAAATGATCCACTTGCAGTAGTGCAAAGAGATAAGTAATTTATAATATATTTTTGACATGACTTTATTGTAGAACCACACTTGTCACATTTCAGTTTTGCCACTTGTACCAAGAACTGACTGCAACAGTTTTTCTCTTTAGAAGGACCTGCAAGTCTAATGCCCATGCATCTTTTGTGCAATAATGCTGTGAATGTGTGGAAAATAATAAATTCTACTCAATATAAGCATTCATTCTATTGACTGTATCGGCAACAAACAAAAAAAGATGGAGGGAAAAAGTATGTTACTATATTTAACTGTGTTATTTAAGAAGATTTAAGGGATTGTTTGTTACTTCTGTTGGTTTCATGTTCATGTCATAAACTCAAAGAAGACTTTCTGGTACTTGTCTAATCCATTATCTTAAAAAGGGCTTTATGAAACTTTTATGTGATAAATAAAATTCTTATTCGAAGCATTTACTTTTGATTGCAGTAGACTCTACAGGTTTCCAGAATCAGGAGGGTCCTGGACAAACTAACATCTATGCTGGACCATGACTGTTACCCCCTGCAGGACACTCTCTTTGCTCTGGAGAGCAGTTTCAGTGACAGACTAATTCACCCTCGCTGTGTGAAGGAGAGGTTCCGTAGGTCTTTCCTTCCTGCTGCTGTCAGACTGTACAACGAGAACAGGAACTGCTGAGTCTGTACAAGTGTCACTGATAATTCACTAGTAACTTTGTCACTAGTCACTTTACCTGTTGTCAGTACTACTGCATTATTACATATCTGATATTTCTGCCTTTCACCGTCACTTTACCTGTTGATTTTTACAGTATTATTACATATCCATCTGATAATTCTCCCATTCAAGTCACTTTACCTGTTGATATTATTTCTGATGTTCATTCTGCTCATATTCTCCGCTGCTAATGTATAATATAGACATCTGTAAATACTTCCGAACCAAGTGCAATTATAGACACGAGTTTATCTCATTTTATTTTTATCTTAATTCTATAGTCTTTTATCTTAAATAAATAGACCCTGAGTGCTCTTATTTACTCTCTTTGCTGATGTGCGCAACGATGACACTGAGGCTGTTTATACAGAGACGCTGCGCAGACGTTTCCAAGCTATTAACAAAAACGACCTGGCTCCTAATGCAAATTTCTCAGCGTTCACATGAGGTTGAAAAACGATGTAGTTCTAGCGCCCGGCCAGTAGTGGGCAGAGAAACTTTACAACACTCACACGACCCCCAGCCCGTGCCCTGCCCCCCTCTCGGCAGTGTACTCACTTCCTGTGCCAGACCCTCAAGAACGCACCAACATCATTCTGCCTTTTAACAGCAGCTGTGAAAATGGAAACTGAACCTAGAGCTTCGCGTGGTCTCGTTTGGAAGAACGAAGGAGTAGAATTATCCTCTGTGCTGTGCTCGAAGCCCACGAAGCTAGTTAGTGCGCGCGGCCGCCATTTTTGTTGATGTTTGTTCTCCGCTACTGCGCATGTCCAAATTTACGTGCGGGGAGCAGCGCGGAGGTGGGGGTCAGAGCAGAGGGGGATTTCACACCTTTTTCCCTCTCGCGGGTGTGAAAGAGCTCCCTGCTGTGCAGCGTTTCTGAGTTGTCCCACTCTGCAGGCTGGATCTGAACACTTACGTTTTCACCCCCCTGGAACACAGTCTTCGTATGAACGCTTGGTAGCAACCGACATCCAACTATACCGTTTTAAACTGCCACATTGTCTCCACTCAGCCTGAAATTCCTCCTGTGTAAACTCAGCCTTTTGGATATTCTGAGTGGAGAGTGGATCCCTCAACCAAGAGAATCTTCCAAACAATTGATCATAGGATCATCCTAGTGACCACTATGATGGAAAGTAAAGGCAAAACACTAACTCACCAAAAGTTGTGTTATACCCCTGTTATGTTCAATCACATTGCACATAATGCATGTATATAGGATGCAGTGTTGGAGAAGTTACTTTTAAAAAGTAATGTTTTCGTTACTTGTTACTTTTAAAAAGTAACCTGTTACTTTACTAAGTTACTTTATTTACTGAGTGACTAAGTTACTTTACTCGTTACTTTTACGTTACGGTTATTATGCTCAACTTTGAGCAGAACTGTTCTTAAATTTGTGGTAGTAGTTCTATTCTATTTAGTTCATGCTGTTTTTGATCAAAATGCCACAGAGCATGTACACATGAGGTTGTTGTACTTCATGAACACAGCTCTCACTCGGGGGAATCATTTTAGGACATCTAACCCCTTGATGAAGAGCAGCTGAGAAAAAACAAAGAAGTTGGCACTCACAGTGAGGCTGAATTTTTTTTTCTGCAGATGCGTAAATAAATATGCCCATGATAAATAAAAAGTAATGTTGCAGGGGATCAAGAAAGAAACGGCTATACTTTACTAAATTGACGATAGTAAACACGTTACTTTACCTCGGAATAAGTAGTTTTGATACTGATAAAAAACACTGTTGGAATGTAAATGTAAATAACAATCTAATTTAATCACCAACCTAATAAGTCTTAGAATCAATGAAGATATGCAGCTTAAGCAGAAGTTCAGGCTGGTAGACTACCCACACATGTCATCGCACCAGGTTTGCCTATTTCTTCCTCAGCCTATCACATCGGCTTCATCAACTCCCCTGCCAGCCGTGCTAAATCAAGCCAGCGTTTAGAAGCAGGACATTGATCATCAAACAGCCTTTACAGTCGCAACCGCCTCCTCCACACCTGTGCCTCAGGATTACATTGCATGCTCACATCCACAGGCCCGGATTAACCCATTAGGCAAGAGCCCAATTGGCAGGGTGGGGGCCCAGACAGAGGTACAAAATAAATAATATATATATATGTGTGTGTGTATATATATATATGTGTGTATATATATATATGTATACATTTCATTTATTTATTTTGTACCTCTGTCTGGACCCCACCCTTGGGCTCATGCCTAATGGGTTAATCAATGTAAACTAAACCAGCTCGACCTCAGCTGACAGAGAACCCACAGCTTTCATAAAGGTCGGATTTTGTGGGGATTTCTGAACTTTTTTCTTCTTAAATCCTTCGGTTTTCTTTAAATCCACACATAAGTGCCATAAACTCTGTCCGTCTGGCTCCTGCTCTAACTCCCTCTCTGATGAGCAGTTCTGATTGGTCAGAGCGCGGCCGAGCCCCTCTGTGCACGTGCATGAGAGCCACACGTGTATTTGGCGCAACGCATCATGGGAGATCATCCACTGCGCAGAACCGGGAGGACCAGACAATGCCCAAATATAGGCGAGTTTCCCATGGATCTTTGCGAGTTCCAGGCAAGTTCCGCTAATTTTTTGGCGCCCATGCCGGCACAATGCGCCACTGAGCACAAACCATTAATTTAAATTCGGCGCCATCTTGGATCACCGGGCTTGGCTCTACTGGAGCAATCCAAAATGGCCGCGAGTGGTCCCGCCCACAAGAAAATTGCGAAAAAAACGCATCTGCGCATGCGTCAGCTATGCGTTGTTCCATTCATTTGAACGAGAGACTTCAAAAATTCACAGCAAGTAAACAAGAGTGGACCAAAAAAATTGGTTGACACACATGTGGAACGGAGCTTTGGGCCAAGAGCCAACTTTTGGTCCATCCTGTAAAGACGTTTTCGAGAGGTCTGCCAATGCTATATGTTAGCATTGGCTAATTCTTCTTCTGGGTCCAAACCCATCGGCCCGGGGTGGTATTGCAAGCACGTCAGCGCACGTCATTTTGGCCACTTTTGAGCTGGGACCCGCCCCCACTGGTTTTGCCCCAGTAGCAATTGATAGCAAGCTAAAGCTAAAACGTTCCTGCGCTAGTGTGCTGTATTTTGCTCTTTCACGTGTTGCCCTTCTGTTTTGTGCTTGTAATTATGTTGTCATATTTATTTGTTTGAGAATCCCTTCCCATAAGTGAGGAAATTACCAAAGAGCAAAAAGTGATTGGAGTTACGTGAAGCGCGTCCCTCCTGTCACCTGTATCTGATTGCCGCTATTAACGTTGGTGGTAGGGGGGCGTGATCTGGTAGGCCGTCTCCCACAGTGGCACGTCGCTGAAGCTGAGGTTCCGTGGGTGACATCCACAACGGAATAAATTTAGTGTTGGTACCCGGATGGAGGCCACCAAAGAGGGGTGCATCTCGCCGTCTTCTCAATCTTTCAGTATTTCTCAAGAGCAAGCAAAACATACATTTGGATCTTTCTAAATAGTGTGGGTTTTGCGACTTTACTTTTGTTTTTATGAAAATACTTGTCGATCGCATCTAAGACTTTGTTTCTTCATTTGTCTGTTACACATGCAGAAAAGTGGTTGTCCAAAAAGCACAAGTTATGCATTTCCCTCTGCCTTACTGACGTTGCATCTCGTGAGAATTGTTCTCTCAGATCTCGCTACCTTTGGAGTTAATATCTTGGTACAGTTTAAATTCCCATCTTACCTTGGATAAACTGCGATACTAATGATATTCAAGGAGTGTTGGATAAATTGTTAGGTTAAATCTAGCACTTGAGTTCTGCACCACTGGCTACCACAGGCTGTTGATAGAGCTCAACATGTGTATTTCTCACCGATGGGCTCCTCTCCATTGTTTTGCACAGATGCAGAGCCACAGCAAACGTCAGCCCCGATTGGACTTCAGACGTTCAGTGTCAGGGGTCATTCTTTATAATGACATAGATCAACAACCACTCGCGCTTTTGATGCATTTTCTCACAATTAAAGTAATTGCTGATTGTTCTTTTCACTTCTCCCGGTGCCAGGAAATTCGCAAACCCTCGTGTGCCGAGCAAGTTT